TGCATTGGGAAGCCTGAGATACGAGGAGGTGTGCAGGACATGGTGATTACGTATACCAAGAGGAAGAAGGGATGAATCTGGTCAGCTGTACGGGTGACAGGGAGGGAAGGAGAGAAAGGGTAATCAGTTGGATATTCACGAGAGAGTGCGAATGAGAGTTTGCAGAGGAGGATGGGCATGTGGATCCCGCTGTACTGCACACTGGCATTGCTTCTGCCATGTCTGACATCTTCAGGTAGGGACCACATGTTCAGGTGGGGCCCACATGTTCAGGTGGGGACCACATGTTCATGCGGGGCCCACATGTTCTTGTGTGGCCCACATGTTCATGTGTGGCCCACATGTTCATGTGTGGCCCACATGTTCAGGTGGGGCCCACATATTCAGGGGAGGATCACATCAGCGTGCCTAGTATGGGTGGTAAGGTAACCGAGTCCAAGGATGGAAACTGAATCAGACGGCAACACGGGGATGATTCCCTCTTTAAGATTGGCCGGAATTTCTCGTTTGTGGATTGGAGATAGTGGGGGATCACACCGGGTGAGGTTTAAATTCTCTGTATAATTATTTGCCCACGGAACTAGCTCTACACCAAATGCAAGAGGCAGAAAAATAAGAGTGAGACCGTCCTTTAATACCTTCCCCTTCCCTTTTGCCCTCCCTCTTCCCCCTTTCGCTCTCCCTCTGCCCCTTTTCTCCCTGTCTGTCCTTGCCAGCGTGGGGGTGCTGCTGTTGCAGCTGCTCACGGGGTGGGATACTCCCTACACGCATGTGGATGGCCACTGCATGCACATCTCTGACTGGGTGCGTGCCGCCCTGCTGCTCACGACATGGTATGGCATGGTATGCTGTGGTGTGTTGTGGCATGGCGTGGCAGGGCAAAAGATGGTATGGCATGGCGTGGCATTGCATGGCATGGTGTGGCATGGCGTGGCATGGTGTGGCACGACATTGCGTGGTATAGCATGGCATGGCATGGGGTGGCATGGCATGGCGTTGCGTGGCATGGTGTAGTTGTGATGATGGTGCATGTGCAATGTGCATTGACCATGCACTCGCCCCTTGCATGCCAGGCATCACAGCACATGACTCACATTGGAAAACTCTAAGTCTCGTGTTCACACCGCCCTGCCCCTCCATCCCCCGTGTCTCCTCCCACCGCTCCTCTTCCCATCACTCCTCCTGCACACCTTCCCCTTCCCTACTTCCCCTTCCCTACTTCCCCTTCCCTACTTACTTACCCTTCCCTACTTCCCCTTCCCTACTTCCCCTGCATGCATCTCCCTCTCCCCATCCTCCCAACCCCCAGGCCCAGCAGCATGTGACCGCTGGCAACGTCTCTCCTCTCCTCGACCCCCTCCTGCCACACCCTCCACCCCCACACTTCCTCCTCCTCCCCCTCTTCCTCCTTGCCCTCTCCTGCACCTCCTCTTCTCCCTCCTCCCGCCCCACTCCCTCTGCGGCCCTCCGAACCCTCAAGCCCCTTCGAGCCTCCCTGCTGCAGGGGAGTCGGACAGGCGGTGAAAGGGGAGAAAGCCTAGATAGCAGAGAGGGGGACAGTGGGGAAAGACGAGAGGGTGGGGGGCAGAGCAGAGGGCGATGGAGTGGACTACACTGGGGGAGTGGCACTGGCATATGGGATGGCCAGGGCAGTGGCGGTGCATTGGGTGCACGGCTGGCAATGCTGGGCTCAGAGGATAGTCGCGAGTTTGTGGTGTAGCTGAGAGGCATTTATTGCCCGGGTAGACTTTGCCTAGGCAGGTGCCATCCGTTTTGTGTATGGCAGAGAATCTAGTGCTACTGTGCCTGCAGAGCATGGGAAGCATGTATCGGGCAGGGATTTGTGTTGAAATGGAGGGAGTGGCTTTTGAGTGGGAAGCATGCATCAGGCAGGGATTTGTGTGGAATTGGAATGGAATGGAGGGAGTGGCAGGCCGGGGTGTGTAAAGAAGTGATCGTGAGATGAAGGTGTGATTTGATTGAGGAAGCTGTATAAAGACTGGAGGTGGAGAAACGTCTTCCAGTGATTCAAATGTTGAAATTGGATGCACGAGTGAAATATGATCTTTGTTCATCACATTTGATGATAAAAACCAGTGCCATTCTTGCATATGCAGCAGACAATTATTTATTTGACTTAACACCATGCCCTCAGAACTCCGAACGATGTTCTTCATTGTCATGGCATCTTAATCTCCCACATCGCTTCTATTGTGTATACCGAATATGGCTTACCAGAAATCATCCCCGTAATGTAGGTTCTCAACTTCTGATCCAACACCCACCCCAACAGGGACGTCGCTAGCAGAAATTTTTTGTCTGTTTGTCCTATATTTGAGGGCTAGTTTTTTATTTAATCTGATAATTCAGAAATATGCACTTAGTGAAATCTGTTCATTCAGAAATGCTTTTCAGCTGTATCTGATCCACCAGAAACGGTTTCCATGTTCATCTGATACATCAGGAACACTTTCGGGTTTCGTCTGTTACCGAATCTTTCTACCCTTAGGCGTGATTCACGCGTGAGCAAGGCGTGGTGTGGGTGTTTAGCCGTGATTACCGGAATGTATGCATGCATCATACATTCCGCCCCCTGTGCTCCCACGTGTTTCTTTCGCCACCACATCCACAAAATGCCGCTGCAACAGGCAAACAGTCAGGTTCTATGACGCACTCACGTGATGTCTGCGTCACGAATTGCCCACGCAGGATAGTTACTGTCGTACGTGGCCTGTCACAAGTGTGGGATTGGCTAGTTTAGAACAACAGTCATCAATCCAGCACCACAAACCCACAATTTCGGCGCCTGACGAAGGTTCAGGAAGCGCGGTTTGGGTTCACCACAGTCAAGTGGTGCCACCCACAGTTCTCGGGAGCCATGCGCGGTTCGTCAACAGGGCTCTGTGGTCGGGCGTTGGGGTTTCGGGGGGGTCTTTCGTCTCCAACCTTCTCTTACAAACGCCCTACCCAGCCATTTTCACCGCGATTACAGACGGTTCTCGCCCTAGTCACGTAAGTCCGCCCTCTCGCCATGGCGGACGACACGGAAGCTGCTGAATCACCCACCCCACGGCCCAAACCACCAGTCACGGGCCTAGATTTCCTACGCCGCTCCCAGCCAGCCGCCGTGTTAGGCGCGTCTTCGCCGACACGCGTTCCAACGTCTTCTTCCCCGAATCGGCAGGACGTCACTCCTGTTTCATGGCCTGCTGTTAATGCTAGACGGGCTTTCAGTAGCACACCGCCCGTCTCCCCTAGTACCTCTACACGGATTACACCTAATCCTAGATCGCAAGCGGCGCCTAGCACTTCACGTGGTACTGCCGTGCCCCGATTCCCCAAGGCAGGCCGATATACCCAGAGCACGCTGCGGATTGCTAAGACAGGGGTTCCTCACGTCCGCATCGTGTCACGCCCCACGCCAGCGCCTAGAGTTGAGGCTGCTGCAGCATCAGCAGCACCAGCAGCTCATCCCACAGGTGATCCTGGGCCTTCCAGGAGCACCATCCATGTCCCTGATCCAGACTCGCTTATGGAGAAGCTCCAAGAGCTGTCGAAGGAATATTGACGCGACAAATTCAAGTGGCTGATTATCACGCAGAGGAAGGACGGGACGCCGTGCATGAAGTGCAGCATATGCATAGCTCACGGTCCAGCCCACTGGAAGTTCGGTAAGAACGGCGAAGGTGGCGTTGATATCCAGCGGCAAACGATGCGGAAGCACGCGCTCAGCCGGAAGCATCAGGACGCCGTCAATGCCCAGCTTCGCGCCGAAGGCGGTAAGGTTGACCAAAGGGGTATTGAGGAGTTCGAAAACGACGACAACGAGACGTCGCGGCTGAAACAATTGATGCTGGTCGTGCTATTTATCTGCAAATCCGATTCCCCCATCTCCCTGTTCGTTGATCTTGTTCGACTGTTGGCCGAGCTTCAGACGCCGCACATCCCGGACAAGTCCATAGGGACATACCAGTCAGCGTGAGTGAAAAGTCCTTCTTGTTTTGTGTATTTATCGTCACTTCGACTAATACCACCTTCACTGTGTTGTGCAGGTACGGCTTCCGTGAAATAACCGAAGCGCTCGTCACCAACCTGAAGCAGCAGCAGATGCGCCACATCCAGGCGTCTCCGTTCCTAGGAATTCAACTCGACGAGAGTACCGACCGGCGCAGAGGCAAGCATACGATCGTCTACCTGAGCTTCATTCGCGACGCCGAGGTCGTCACCGAGCTGTTTGGGCACCTGACAGTCGAGAAGTGCGACGCGTCGTCTCTGCTGACAGTACTTCTCGCCCATTTGGCCGTCACGGGCGTCGACATCATGAAATTGTCGGGCATCAGTACGGATGGCGCGAGCGTGATGCGGGGTTCACAGGCTGGAGTGGCGACCCAACTGAAACTGCGAGTCCCACACCTGGTGACGTGCCACTGCATCGCTCACAGGTGCGATGACAACATTTCTGTAACGGTGGTTTTTGTTTTTGTTGTCACACGTTTTGCATTGTTCAAACCGCTTGTTATTGCACTCTTGCAGGGAGGCTCTCGCCGCGAAGGACGCGGCGGGGGGTTGACCGTCCTCAACATGGTCGACACGGTCGTGCGGAGCATCGCAGAGAACTTGGGGAGGAGCATCGTCTTGCACTCCCGGTTCATGGAGCTACAACACATCCTGCACGAGAAATCTCTGGAGGTGCAGGGGTTTAAAGACGTTCGATGGCTGGCGCGTGGCGATGCGATTCGGAGGCTCGTGGCAGTCCTACCGGCGGCGATAGTGGTGTTGTGGGAGCAAGACAAGAAGGCCTACAAGACAGTCTCGAGTTTCAAGTTCCACTTCTTCCTGTTTTTCCTGGCAGATGTGCTGAAACTGCTCAACGAGCTGAACCTCAAGTTTCAACGGCGCACGGTGAGCAGTTGAGAGGTCCGTGCTGATGTTTATGCACACGAGCGTGTCTGACTATTGCGTCTTGCCTTGAGCAGGTGGACATCACCCGGGTGGCATCAATGGTCCACAACACGTGCGACAAGCTGAAGCAGCGATACATCGAGCACGGCGTCAACTACGCTGAGGATAGTGAGTTGCTCACAGAGTTCATGGAGAAGCACGGAGCGTGGGACAAGCGGGAGGTGACGGTCGAAGGCATGGATGGGGAGGGAAGTCCCGTCAAGCACACTTTCAAGCTGCACGAGGAAGCCATCAAGGGTCAGAAGTCCAAAGGGGACCTTGAGTCTTGCATCACTGTAACCCGTCAGTTTGCGCAGGAAGTTGTGAAGCACCTCCTAAAGCGGATGGAGAGCCTAGACACCCTCGCCGGAGCGAAGCTTTTCCTGCCTGACGCGTACCCCGAGGGAAGCGCGAAGAGAGACCGCCTCTGCGCATCCTGGTTCCAGTCTCTCCGCACGCTGTTCAGTGCGGAGAAGTGCGTACTTCCAGGTAATCTGTGCGTCTCTGTGGTGCATCTATGTTAGTCGCTCGGTGATATGTTACCGCCAATGACTTATCTCCCCGTCGTCCCCCCCCCTCTTGTACTTGCAATTGTGCGTGAGCAGGATTGAGCTGGAAAAAGGCGGGACGAGAACTGGTGCCGTTCACCAAGATGATGGCCGCGCAGTACAAGGACCAGACCTTCCACGCCGGCCTCAAGCACATGTTGCGCAGTGAAGACTGGGAGACGAGCTACCCCAACATGGTCCGCATCTGGATCGCCCTCGCCGTGCTGCCGCTGAGCACCGTCGAGTGCGAGCGCGGCTTCTCGAGGCAAAACATCATCAAATCGTGGCTCCGCGGGAATCTTTGCAACACACGCCTGGCGGACCTGATGTCGGTATCGCTCCTGCAGTACGAGCCGAACTGGGACGACGTGGTGGCTGCTTGGAGGGGGGCAAAGAAGAGGCGCCCTGCTAAGGAAGTGACGACCAAGAACACTCCAGGGAGAGCCCCAAAGCGGAAGGCCGAGAGAGGAACGTCAGCTGCTGCCTCCAATGAAGACGAAGATGATGAGGATGTGGTCAGGCGGAGGACCTCTAAGAAGGGCAAGGCATGTGCAGCTCTAGCACTGTCGGTCGACAGTGATGATGACAATGGGCTTGATGTCCGCGCCACTGTGGCGCTAGAGTCTGACACTGAGTAGAGTAGAGTAGAGTAGATGTAAATTGTATTGTAACACCTCGCCAGTAGTTACATAACTTCCTTGTGATGTGATAGTTCTTTTAGTATTGATGAGACTTCAGCTAATGCCAGTCATGTTGCAATCCTAATAATAATTAAAAAGAAAAACAGACAAGCATGTGCTTTAAGATCTGACACATCAGACAGAGATTTTCGAAAACCCTGATCCAGCAGACAGGGAAGCACTCGGCCTACTGATGAAGCAGACGGGCCCCACGGGCCCGTCTGCTCCATCAGGCTGCCTCAGATCCTAGCGACGTCCCTGCACCCCAACTCTCTTACGATACTTTCAAGGCACTCTAGGCGGAACATGGAGGGGATTACGGTAGAGCGGCCAAACAGTGGCAACAAGCTCAGTTGCCAACCGCCTGTCATGCATATCATTGCTTTCAATCATTTCCTGGAGGCATGCAGGAATGAGACAAATGACATCAATATGATGGCACATAAGATAATCAGTCGGAAGGCCATATTATATGAAAAAATAGAGCACAAGGACATTACCTTCACGAGCCTTTGGCTGCTGTTTAAATCCATAAGGTGTACAACATGGTCCATCAGGACATGTTTTGTCCGTGCTGCCCCAACCCGATCCACAGCTTTCAACACACGGAGCAGAGAGTGCTCTTCCACATGCAGTGTGGACAATTGGCGGTCCAATTTTTCTGCTAGATCAGCCACATCATACTTATGTGCAGCTTCAAGCAGTGCAACGCCTCGTTCCTGATGATGTGAGAACATAAATTGAACTACATAAATTATCCGACAGAAAAAAAAAATGATTAGACTGGATAAGGGAAGGCTCAAATGTCACTGGTCAACTCTAGGACCGTGCTACATGCCTGCTATAAGAGCCCAAAAAACCCACAGTGAAGACTCTGTACTATGAAGCAAGTTGGCACATACCTTGAGAGCATCAGCATCAATGAGCATGTCAAAGCCACCATACATGAAGGCCAGGAGCGCCCTCAGCGTGTAGCCATCCATGTCAGTCAGCCTGAACACTGAATCCTTCTCATCCCCCGCTTCCTCCATCATTGACTCTAGCACTGGCGACCTGAACACACACACACACACACGCACGCACGCACGCACACACGCACACACACAGAAACAAAAAGAAAATGACATTATGGAAGAAAAAAAGCAACATACGCTGCCACATGGCAACAATGCTGCGGTGTGCTCGAATCCTGGTACCATCGCAAGCCTCAAAAACCACGTCTGTGGACTTTTCTCGCTCAAAAAGGTCGTTCAGCTTGGAGGAAAGGCGATAATCCTCAGCTTCCCTGATGCATCATATAAACGGGTTAATAAGTTGGCATGCCAAAGAAGACGGAAAAAAATAACGTGCATAAGAACAGAATCAAATCCGCAAATAATACAGAAAATGAAACACCAGCAGTACTTCTCTAAGTAATATATAGAACCAACTAATCTCTTGTAAGGCGGAAGGTGACCCACCTAGGCAGCTCAGGTAAGAAGTCGTTGGAAGCTCTTTTCCTGCACAAGTTTGTGTTGGTTCAAGAAAAGTAAGCAGGAAGCAACGAACAGAAGCCGAATCACAATTCTTTTAACACTGTGCTCTATATTGACATGGACATGAAGTTGAGCGGACCATGAAGACCATGAGCGACCTGGAAAGTGGTACCAACCCCCCCTTCCCTCCCCTCCCCCCCATCCTTTCCCCTTCCCCCCGTATTTCCACACCAAAGGGAAAAAAATCACCAAGGCATACACACCTTGACAGCCCATGACGGTCGTCCCTGCTGTCCTCTAGACTAGATTGGCCCCTGATGTAAAGGAGGGGGAGGATTCGAAAACAGGAAGAAGGAAAAGAGAAGTTCGGACTACAAACGAACCAAATGGAGAGCGAAACTCAGAGAAAGCCATGAGTGCAACACTCACTAATGGTACTTCCATCCTGGCATACTTCCAAGCCAGTGAGATTTTGAGGCGCCTCAATTTTTTAGGCGATTTTTTAGGCGCCTCAAAACCCTGAAGAGCGGCGCGATCTTAGAGAAAGGCATGAGTGCAACACTCACGAAAACATCCATCCTGACATACTTCCAAGCCAGTAAGATCCACGCTGTGCCAACCAAAGAACATGTACCGACTGGTTGGTTTTGGCCAGAACAAATGGGACAAACCCTAGCGGTAACTCAAACCCTGTACCTAGGATAACATTTGACGCGCGTATCCGCGCAGCAATGTCACACGCATATCTACACAAGCGAAGCAGAGGAGCCTGGAAGGCGTGGACGGGGTGGCTGCTACTAGTGTAGCACGAGCATCGAAGCGACGCAACTCTCCAATCTCGCGCAAAAGCCTAACTCGTGCATTGCAGACATCGTGAGGCTGGGTGCTCGTCGGATATCGAATTCTGTAGCGACCGTCGGATTAACGGGGAAGTCAGTGGCGGCGTTGAAGAAGAATGCCCCTACTCGCAGCTCGCGCGCGTTTGGCGCAGGGAAACGTGCTTGAGATGTGTGGAGTCGGAACAGCTAAGCGACAAGTGCACACTGTCAACAAGACTAGGCAAGAATGATTGAAAGGAGAGGGGTTTCACTAGCAGCAGTTGGGGTACATATAGCAAACCCTAACTGGGTTGTACTCGCTATAGAGCACCCCACTACAGGCTAGACAATAATAACATTCTGACACACCCCCATAGCCAAAGTGGGGTGTAATCAGTACAATGAGCAGGCATAGCAATAGTTCACAATTATAAGCAAAGCTAGAGGTGATCATAGAGGGCAAGTGAGGAGGAGGAGAAACTGTGAGGGCGAGAAGATGAAAGGCGCCGACTGAAGCTGCAGACACACGGGCAACAGGAGCGGCGCGCACAGTGGCTACCGAGCGCACGAGGGCACCGGACTACGGGAGTATCTGGCTCCGCGGCTACGACGAGCACACACAGGAGCAACGGACCCACAGGCGACTGGCGAAGCAGGCTCGCTGGGCTACCGAAACGCGCGAGGGCATCCGGACTACTGGCGCTGCTGGCGTCACGACGGCTACCTCCACGCAACCTCCCCCGACCGTCCCACGCCCCTCTCACACACCCCCTGCTGACACCCTAGCTCCACTTCCACGGCACCCCCCTTAAACCCTAAACCCTCGGCTCCCACACACCCACCCCCCTCAGCGGCAGCTGCAGCAGTGGGAGACGGAGGAGGAGGAGGAGCCGCAGGTTACCCACACCGGTCACCCCCATGCCCGCCACCCCCAAACCCTAACGCAGGCAGGAGCGCGGGAAACAGCAGGGGCGGGGCACGGAGGGAAAGGGAGGCAGCGGGGTGGCTCTTGGGCGCCACGAAGAAGCAGGGCGCGGGCCCCCCGAGGGCGCCACGGCGGGTGACGGGAGGGGGGCCGCGCACGGGCCCCCGAGGGCGGCTCGACGGGCGACGGGAGGGGCCGCGCGCGGGCCCCCTAGGCGCCGCGACGAGGCGACGGGAGGGGGCGGCGCGCGGGCCCCTTGGGCGCCGCGACGAGGCGACGGGAGGAGGACGACGGGGGGCAGCGCGCAGGTCCCCGGGGGCGCCACGACGGGCAGGAAACCGCCGCGCGCCTCGGGGCGCACGGCGGGCAGAAAACCGCCGTACGCCCTGAGCGCACGGCAGGAAGAAGACGGCGCGCGCCCGAGGCGTGCGAGAAGCAGAATAGCAGCGGAAGCAGTTAGGTGGCGGGCCCACCCACAAGATCGATCCAAGGGGGTCGACCTGCTCTGATAGCATGTCAACAAGACTAGGCAAGAATGATTGAAAGGAGAGGGGTTTCACTAGCAGCAGTTGGGGTACATATAGCAAACCCTAACTGGGTTGTACTCGCTATAGAGCACCCCACTACAGGCTAGACAATAATAACATTCTGACATACACACATGCATGCCGAGAATTCTTTTGGCGAGCGACACTCGCGATAACTGCGCATTTCTCGCCAACATATCGCCCGGATATATTGACGTTGTGGGACCCGTAACAGAGCCTAGCTGTTACGTACTGCCAGAAACAATACAGTAAATTGTGCCAAACTTAGAATGGAACCCATCCATTATGTACATTGACAAACATAGAACCCTACTCCGCACGTCTGCTCCATCTAAGAACGATAATAGCATTTCATTCAATCCAAACTGCTCACTCATCCTATACTTGGAATCACATGCAACACTATATACACTATGCACAAAAGAGGACGAGCGCAGAACGTACGCGCGCTCACGCTGGCGGGCCCGTGAAGTGCGAATGGAGGCCTGGCAGCACTGGTAGTTATCGACGTCTAGAAGCGGGAGTTGAGCATGGTGTGTCTGACGCGCGGTGTGAAGCACGACCCCAGCATAAACGCTAACAACCCCTTTTGAATCAACTCAAAAAGGACGGATGTAGGATATACACAGGCTCAGGCCGACGGCCCAGTGAAGTGCGACTGAAGACTCTGCCAGCACTGGTAATAGTTGGCATCAAGCAGGGGCGAGTTGAGCATGGTGTGTGTGACGCGCGGTGTGAAGCACGACTCCAGCATGAACGCCAGTGACTCCTCATGAATTCTCTCTGGCTTGCACTCGCCCTCCTCCGCCACAGCCCGCTGCTTGGGAGAGAGGGACGTTGGTGGGAGAGGGGTGTGGGGGGAGAGCGGGGCGTGAGGGACGTTGGTGGGAGCAGGGAGTGGGGGGAGGAAGACGATGATCCAGCATGAATGCCAGCGACCCCTTGTGGACTCGCTCTGGCTTGCTGTCACCCTCCTCCGCCACGGCTCGCTGTATTGGGGGAGAGGGGCGTTGGGGGAGAGGGCCGTTGGGGGAGAGAGTCGTTTGGTGTGCGAGGGGCACCCACTCCAGCATGAACGCCAGTGACCCCTCGTGCACTTGCACCGCCTTGCTGTCGCTCTCCTCTGCCACGGCCCGCTGCTTCGGGGAGAGGGGCGTTGATGGGGGAGTGAGAGGGGTGGTAAGCCAAGCTAAACGGCATGGGGGGAGGGGAGAAGCAGTGACCCCTCGTGCACTCTCTCCGGCTCGCTCCATTGGGGAAGAGGGCCGATGGGGTGCGGAAAAGGATGCCGTGGCATTAACCACGACTCCAGCATGAAGGCCAGTGACCCCTCATGCCATGGGATGTCATGCAGCTGTGCAAGGTCGGCCTCACATATGCAAATTAAAGGCAGCATCCCTCTCACCTCGAAGGTGGCGGTGTCAGGGCCGTGGGGCGTCATGCAGCTGTGCAGACTTGCTCCCCCCGGCTCAAAACCCTCCGCCTTAGCCTGAACATCTCCCGGCAAGGAAAGGAGGGGGTTTAAAGTGGAAGGGACGGAGGGGAGGGGAGGGAGAGCGGAGGGGGGGGGGGGGGGGGTAGACGAAGGGAGGGGGGTGGGGGTGAGTGAGAGCTGGTAGAACCAACCATGTGGTTAAAAGTGCAACGAATTCCCAATATATGGCCTAGAAAATCCACCTTACATCGCGCATACAATCACAACATACGTTCTGTAATAAGGCCATAAATGCAGTCACCTCAAAGTCTACGTTTATTAATCCACAAACTCTCCTCGTACATTCCCGTTTTAAGCACATGAATGAACTCACCTCGTACGTCCCCGTTATAAGCACATGAATGAACTCACCTCGTACATCCCCGTTTTAAGCACATGAATGAACTCACCTCGTACGTCCCCGTTATAAGCCCATGAATGAACTCACCTTGTACTTCCCCATAAAAAGGCCCACAAACTCACCTCATACATCCCCGATACAAGCCCCATGAACTCGCTCATGCAGTTGCGGTGGAAGTAGGGCAGGCGGAACGTGTCCTCCGCCTCTCACCTCGCGCATCCCTTTTATAAGCCCCATGAATAAACCCACCTCATACGTCCCCGATATAAGCCCCATGAACTCGCTCATGCAGTTGAGTTATGCACTTATCCTCGTTATGAGCCCACCCACCTCATACGTCCCCGATATAAGCCCCATGAACTCGCTCATGCAGTTGCGGTGGAAGTAGGGCGGGCGGAACGTGCCCTCTGCCACAGCCCAGCGTGGTGGGAAGAGCACAAAGTCCACTGCTGCCACCCCTGGGCGCGTGGTGGGACACGTGAGCACTGCGGACAAGGGGAAGGTGAGGGAGGAGGAACAGAGAGGGTGATTATGGCACCCTAGTGGAGGGAAGACGGCTGGAAGGGAAAAAGAGGGTGAAATTAAGGGCGGTGGAAGTAGGGCGGGCGGAACGTGCCCTCTGCCACGGCCCAGCGCGGTGGGAAGAGCACAAAATCAACTGCTGCCACCCCCGGGCGCGTGGTTGGGCACGTGAGCACTGCATGGGGGGGGGAGAGAGGGTGGTGCCTTAGGTGGCTCGGGTGGAGGGAAGTTGGCTGGAAGGGAAAGAGAGGGTGAAAGTAGGGCAGGCTGGAAGTAGGGGAAGGGGTTGATGAGAGGGGGTGACGGTAGTGGAAGTAGGGCGCGGGCGGAACGTGCTCTCTGCCACCCAGCGCGGCGGGAAGAGCACTAAGTCAACTGCTGCCACTCCTGGGCGCGTGGTGGGGCAGGTCAGAACTGCCAGGGGTTGGGAGTGGATGGGGGAGGGGGAGAAGTGAGGAAGTGGATGGTGAAGAAAAGAGGGGTGATGGGATGAGGCTCGGATGGAGAAAATATGGCTCGCAAGGAAAAAGGCGGCGGAAGTAGGGTGGGCGGAACGTGCCCTCTGCCACGGCCCAGCGGGGAGGGAAGAGCACAAACTCAACTGCTGCCACCCCTGGACGCGTGGTGAGACAGGTCAGCACTGCAGGAAGGAAGTCGGGGTAACGGGAATGGGGTGGGAGTACGGAAAGAGAGGGTGAATATACGGCGGGCGGAACGTGCCCTCTGCCGCGGCCCAGCGGGGAGGGAAGAGCACAAAGTCAACTGCTGCCACCCCTGGACGCGTGGTGAGATAAGTCAGCACTGCAAGGGATGGGGATGGGCCGAGGGAGAGGGGGCGGGGAAGAAGAAGGGTTGAGGAGAGACGGTCAAAGTGGCCCTCTAGATTCAGGGGAAAAAGCGGCGTAAGGGAGAGAACGAGGGAGTGAGAATTGTCGGTTCATGCTCCTGTGAAGGTGGCAACAGGGATGGCAAGGGAGGGTGCAGGAGGGTGTGGGACGGTGTGGGAGGGTGTGGGAGGGTGTGGAAGGGTAAGGGAGGGTAAGTGAGGATAAGTGAGGATAAGGGTGGCCAAGGGAGGCCACCAAGGGAGGCCACCAAGGGAGGCCACCAAGGGAGGCCACCAAGGGAGGCCACCAAGGGAGGCCACCAAGGGAGGCCACCAAGGGAGGCCACCAAGGGAGGACAAGGAACAGAAAGGGAGGGAAAAGCGGCAGAGAGGGTAATGGATGGTTAGAATGGGAGAGCACAAGGTGGGGGATGGGGGCATACAAAATTGTGGGGTGCAGGCAGGCGGGGAGGTAGACGGCAAGCAGCATGGTGCATGCAGGGGTGGATGGAGGGGCGCACCTGTGAAAATGGATGGGTCGGGATGGTCGAATGCGACGGCGTTCATAGGGCAGAAACGACCCAGATCGTACTGTGAGGAGCACGCAGCGGGACATGGGGATGGAGAAGAGGGGATGGAGGAGAGGGGATGGAGGAGAGGGGGACAAGAGAGGGTGTTGGGATGGTCGAATGCCATGGCGTTCATGGGGCAGAAGCGACTCAGGTCGTACTGTGAGGTGCATGCAGGGGGGCAGGAGAGGGGCCCAGGGGGAAGCAGTGAATGCGAGGGGCACAGGGGGAAGCAGTGAATGCGACAGCGTTCATGGGGCAGAAGCGACTCAGGTCGTACTGTGAGGTGCATGCAGGGGGGCAGGAGAGGGGCCCAGGGGGGAGCAGTGAATGCGAGGGGCACAGGGGGAAGCAGTGAATGCGACAGCGTTCATGGGGCAGAAGCGACTCAGGTCGTACTGTGCGGTCAGCGCATCCTTGCAGGGCCAGTGTAAATTGGTCACCTTGACAAGTGTGGAGTGTGGAATGTTCACCTTGACAAGTGTGGAGTGTGGAATGTTCACCTTGTAAGGCACATAGTTGCCATGCCATGCCACCACGTTGAAGGGAGAGAAGTCCTGCCTCGCCTCAAACAGCCGCCCTGCAAACTTGTGCACCACCACGAACCCCCCCCCAACGCTCTGCGCCATACCCTCTCCACCGTTCTGCACCGCATTCGACCCAGCAGGAGCAGCGTTCTCGAACCAAGCTGTAGGCGTCTGGAAGTCACGTGGATTGGCCAGCCCATTGGCACCTGGAGGGGAATGGGGTGGAGCATGGAGAGGAGTGGAGAGGAGTGGAGAGGAGTGGAGAGGCACAGAGAGGAGCCAGCAGCCGCAGTGTGATTCTTGAACCAAGCTGTGGGGGTCTGGAAGTCACGTGGGTTGGCCAGCCCATTGGCACCTGGTGGGGATAGGGGCAACAGAGAGACGGGCAGAACGAGGTATGGAGTCAGGCATGGGGATGCGTGGGGAGATATGGAGAGGTTAGCCTACCTCTATGCCGTCTCGTGGCAACAGGCAAGGTTATGGTCAGCCTGTCGCCACGAGACGGCATAGAGGTAGGCATGCCGAAAGGCTTGGAGAGGGATGGAGATGTGTGGAGAGGTGTGGAGAGGAAGAAGAACTGCGAGTGACTGAAGGAGACACAGGCAGGGATTGCAGGAAGCGAAAGAGAGAGTAGGGAAGAGAGGGATTGAGGCTAAGGGAGAAGGGCAGCAGACTGATGGTGCTACCAAGCTCTGACTGTTGAAAGTGGCCCACACACCAAACACATCACACACACCGCTCACAGCACCTGACACAACCCAAACACCTCACGCAACCCAAACACCTCACGCAACCCAAACACCTCACTCACGCAACCCAAACACCTCACGCAACCCAAACACCTCACTCACGCAACCCAAACACCTCACTCACATAGCCCCGGGAGGGGCCGTCAGGCAGATGCACTGCGAAGCGGAACCCCTGCTGCAGCACTGCAATGTTCATTTAGCCCCTGGGATGAGAGGCTAACTCTAGGTTACCAATCTTACCTATTGGGCCGAGCTCCTCTCACACATAGCCCCGGGAGGGGCCGTCACGCAGGTTTGCTTGAACCTTAGGTCAAATCAAGAGTCATACCAATGGGGCCGAGTTCTGGCAGCTGGAAGTGTCCCCCATACACCTCGCACACATAGCCCCGGGAGGGGCCGTCAGGCAGATGCACTGCGAAGCGCACCCCCTGCTGCACCACTGCTATCTCGCCCGGGCGCACTGCTAGCAGCCCAAACTCGGTTGTGATCCACAGACCTGGAGGGATGGGGGTGTGGGGTCATTGGTTGCTGTGAGGGGAGTGCTCAAACGGAGAGGCAGATGCACTGCGAAGCGCACCCTCTGCTGCACCACTGCTATCTCGCCTGGGTGGACTGCCAGCAGCCCAAACTCCGTTGTCACCCACAGGCCTGCAGGGATGGGGGTGTAAGTGAAGGGGGGAGTGGGACATGAGGGCACTGGAAAAGAGGAGAAGCGCACCCCATGCTTCAGCACTGCTATCTCGCCTGGGTGCATTGGATAGGGGAGGAGCGCATCCCCTGCTGCACCACTGCTACATCCTCTTGTGACACTGCCAGCAGGCTGAAATTCTGTCACCCACACCACAGACCTGCGGGGATAGGGTGGGGGAGGCGGGGGGAATGGGGGGATGGGGGCATGGGGGCGTGAGAGAGTGGGGGGGAAGGCGAAGGTGCGCATGGGCACGATTGCGCTTCTGGGGTCCTGGGGAGTTGCTGCACGGAATAGGCCATGCACTGAAGCATGAATGGGAGGAGCATGGGAGGCCTATGCATTAAGAACTTACAGCCTTGCTGCGGAACGAAGAGCATGACATAAGCTTTGACGTGACGGTGGGTGGTAAAGGATCTATGGATAAAAGTGGAGGGGCTGTTTGAGCAATCGAAGAGTGAAGGAAAAGGAAGAGATTAGAGGAGGAACAACTGAAGGGTAAGGTTGCAGAACTGGAGAGGAGTGAGGAGGGGCATGGAGATGGTGGAATTGTGGAGAAGACGACTGAGGAGGCAAAACTTTAGACTGCACCATCTCCATGCCCCTCCTCCGTCTTCTCCAACTCTGCAACCTTAGACTTTAGCTGATCCCCCTCTAATCCCGACCTCTCCCCCTCAATCTTCAGCTACTCGTTCAGCCCTTCCACTTTCCTCTTCAGATCCTTTACCATCCACCATTACGTCCAAGCTTGTGTCTTTGAGTCTTCAGGACGAGAGGGCCGTGCAATGGGGCATGAAAGGGTGGAGCATGTGAATGAAGCCTGTGAATTTCAATGGGAAACGCAGTGGGGCAAGATGACATCCAATTGAGTGCCAGTGGTCTAGTGGTAGAATAGCACCCTGCCAAATCAGCACGGTGCAGACCCGGGTTCGATTCCCGGCTGGCACAAGTCCGCCCTTTGCTGCATAGCATTTTGTGGTCCCAGCATAAACCCACCTGTCTTTTCTGAAAATAACTTTCCACATTTTCTTTGCACTTGTGCATGTCCGTGTTGCTGCTCCATACATGTGTGTAATAAAACAACCCCCACAGCGTGTTGATGGTCATTGATGAGCAATACTGATCCTTCAGAGCGCAAGGAAGAGAGCATGAAGGGAAGTCACGGCCGTGCTACGAAACGATCAGCAGGTCCCTGACTTGTCCGCATCGGAATTTGGATGAAAGGGCCATGCAGTGGCGCATGCCATGGGACATGGGGCATGGGACAATGGTCTAGTGGAGCATGAAATGGGCATGGGGGAGACTCACGGCCGTGCTGCGGCACGATCAGCAAGCCCCAATCCGCATCGGAAGTAAAATGAAAGGGCTATTCAGTGGCGCATGCTATGGGACATGGGGCATGAGACAGTGGAGCATGCTATGGGACATGGGGCATGCTATGGGACATGGGGCATGGTGCAGTGGTGCATGCTATGGGACATGGGGCATGGTGCAATGGTGCATGCTATGTGACATGGGGCATGGTGCAGTGGCGCATGCTATGGGACATGGGGCATGGTGCAGTGGCCCATGCTATGGGACATGGGGCATGGTGCAGTGGTGCATGCTGTGGGACATGGGGCATGGTGCAGTGGCGCATGCTATGGGACATGGGGCATGGTGCAGTGGTGCATGCTATGGGACATGGGGCATGGTGCAGTGGCACATGCTATGGGACATGGGGCATGGTGCAGTGGTGCATGCTATGGGACATGGGGCATGGTGCAATGGTGCATGCTATGGGACATGGGGCATGGTGCAGTGGTGCATGCTATGGGACATGGGGCATGGTGCAGTGGTGCATGCTACGGGACATGGGGCATGGTGCAATGGTGCATGCTATGGGACATGGGGCATGGTGCAGTGGTGCATGCTATGGGACATGGGGCATGGTGCAGTGGTGCATGCTATGGGACATGGGGCATGGTGCAGTGGTGCATGCTATGGGACATGGGGCATGGTGCAGTGGTGCATGCTATGGGACATGGGGCATGGTGCAGTGGTGCATGCTATGGGACATGGGGCATGGTGCAATGGCGCATGCTACGGGACATGGGGCACGAGGCATAGTCCAGACTCCAGTAGAGCATAGAATGGGCATGGGGACTCACGGCCGTGCTGCGGCACGATCAGCAGGTCCCCATGCGCATTGGAATTTGGATAGCTATGCAGTGGCGCATGCTATATGGGACATGGGGCATGGGGCTGTGGTCCAGTAGAGCATAGAATGGGCATGGGGACTTACGGCCGTGCTGGGGAATGATCAGCAAGTCCCCATCCGCATTGGCGAATACACATCGCTCCATGCTGCTGTTGGCTGCGTACCTGCCATGCCATGCCATGCCATGCCATGCCATGCCATGCCATGTCATGCCATGCCATGCCATGCGCAAATGAGAAGCACTTGCTACATGCGTTTGGCAAGTGCAGAAAACGCAAGTGGAAGGGCAGGGGAGACGAAATGTATAGGGCGGCCACACAGAGAAGACCAAAGGGGGCGGGCAGGAGGATTTTTTAGTCGACTCAAAAGTGTTGGGTGCCATTGTAACGAGGTGACTATTGTGTCAACTCAAAATTTATCACGTGGAAGGGATGGTTACGGGGGAGAGGAGCTATATAGTGGGGGCACGGAGAGGGAACATCGGAGGGGGCGCGCAGGAATTGGGAGAGAGTGAGAGGGTTATGAGGGGTGCGAAGGGGTGAGGGTGTGATGTGATGTGATGTGATGTGATGTGATGTGATGTGATGTGATGTGATGTGATGTGATGTGATGTGAGGGATCCAAAGAATGGCTTTTGAGAATTCTCAAAAATCATCCACGGGATGTGGCAGGTCCAGTGTATGTAGGGCACAGCTAGTCATACATGTGGATGGCAAAGCCCGTCTTATCTTAGGCCACAGATGTCGTACATGTGGATGGCAAAGCCCGTCTTATCTGCGGCGCCGCCACTCCCGCACACGGTTACCAGCCCCTGTACCCAATCCACATGCCGAACCTCCAGGCTCGGCACAGGCAAGGCACGCCAGCGCAGCTGGTTCGGCGTAGCCTCAGTGGCCCCACTGGCAGCAGAGAAGTCGGAGACGAGAAGGGGGTTGCTGCGGTGCGGTGGGCATAGGGTGAACGGCTGGTGGGTAACAGACGGTTTAATGCGGTACAGCCAGCTGGGGGGTTGGGAAAGGAGCGGATGGGGGAGACCGAGGGGGGAGGGCGAAGGGGAAAAGTGGGAGAAGCAGGAGGAGAACTCTTAAGGATGAAGGGCGTGACATGGCAGCCGGCAGCTAGCTGGGTGTGGCCTGGCTGGGAGCGGCCTCGCTTGCAGTGCTTGCTGGGTTGGGGGTGGGAGTGGAGGACAGGGGGGAAGGCCATGGGACGAGAAGGGTGTAATGGACGGTGTGAATGGCTGATGGGTAACGGACGGTTTAATGCGGTACAGCCAGCTGGGGATGGGGGAATGGAAGGTTGGAGTGGGGGGTGGGGGGAAGGGAGAGTGGAAAAGGGAGTAATCAGAATCTTATCGTGAGCAGTGGAGTGAAGGGCGATTCAGAATCTCATCAGAATCTCATCAGAATCTTATGGTGCGTGATTCAGGGATTGCTGCGGTGCGGAGGGCACGAGGTGAAGAGCTGGTGGGTCACTGAGGGCTTGACGCGATACAACCAGCTGTGGGGGGGGAGTGGGTGGGGGAGGAAGGGGGAAAGGGGAATGGAGATGGGGGAATTGAGATAAGAGATGCACACGGGGAGAAGGGCTGGTGGATCACTGAGGGCTTGATGCGGTTCAGCCAGCTGCGGGGGCTGGGAGGGTAGGAAGGAGGGAGTGGGGAGGAGGGAGTGGGAAGGAGGAAGGTGGGAGTGGGGAGGAGGAAGGTGGGAGTGGGGAGGAGGGAGTGGGGAGGAGGGAGGTGGGAGTGGGGAGGAGGGAGGTGGGAAGAGGAGGAGAGGAGGGAAGAAGTGGGTGCAGGGAAGAAGTATTTTGAGGATTTTTTTCCAAAACATATTGCGTGGAGTGGGCATGAGGGTATGCCATGATGCGGGGGTAGCTGCGCTGCTCTGGGTGCGAGGCGGTCAAGTACGGTAGGGTAAGGGGGCGAGGTGTTGGGTCACAAAGGGCGTGATGCGTACAGTTAGCTTGGGGGGTGGGAAACAAGGCGTACTCGGATGGGGAGTGGTGGTGATTTTCCTTGCGTGGCGCGGTGAAAGCGGTCTCTGTAAGCCGCGTACAGCTCGTACCCCTTCCCCCCTTCCCCCTCCCGAGCTGTTGCGCTCCCCTCCCCCCTTCTCCCTCCCGAGCTGTCGCGCTCCGCTCCCCCCTTCCCCCTCTTCCCCCCTTGCTCCCCACCACGAGCCCCCCCCCGCCCACCTGCGCTGGTTCTCCTTGCGCGGAGCGGTGAACGCGGTCCCCGTGAGCTGCTCCGCGTACAGCCCGTACGGACACACGCGCGGGTTGTTGCGGCCCGCGGGCAGCGCGCCGGGCAGCGCCTCACTCTCGAATTGGTTGCCGAACCCTGACATGTACCGCGCCGCTGCGAACCGCGCCGCCATCGACGTTCCCGCCGCTGCGCCGCCTGCCGTCGCCGCTCCCGCCTTCGCGCCGTCGCTTTCGGTCGAATCGACGGCGCGCTTCGGTTGGAGGTGCGGCGGCTTGGTGTCGGGTGATTGCACAGCCGGCCCAGCCGTCTCCGAGTATGGCGCGACGCGTGCCGCCATCGCCAACCCCGCGGTAGTCACTCTGTGCGAAATTCGCGAATTGCGAAACTATGAGTGCGGTACTAGTAGCTACGAGGCTCTGTTGGCGATGTGAGCTGATTGGCAGGCTGGAATCCTGTTAGCAACAACTTCACCTTTCGCAAACCTCGCCGCTAGCAGAAACGCCGAGGTTCGAAAACGAAGGGGAATTCCCGAAACTAACACGGAGCGCATGCAACTAATTCAGCACAAACAAGTCCAGAGTGCTACACAAGATGCCCAACCCCTGCACGCGAAATTGCCTCGCACGTTCCAGAAACCTTGCACACGAAGGTTTTTTCCCGGGCAGTTGCACCCACGTTACAAGCACGTCAACCAATACGAACCACAGAAACAGAAGAGACCGAAGTCAAACAGTCAACGGTGAGTTACAAAATTTTGCTATAAGCCCTTTTTGCCCGATGCGAATTGACGAAACCTCCACGAAATGCATGAATCACTTAAGCGCCCCCTTCACAAGGCAACCTTGGGTTAGTCAAACGGACATCGTGTGTACTAGCTTTCCCAACAATTCAGCTGAAAGCTGGGCTGGGGTGTAGGTGCGGCAGCAACGAGGTTTGTTTGGTTTAGGTTGGGGTGTCCATGTGAGTGGAGGAGCCACACTCGACGAGCCGGATGAGAGAGGTTCGGCTGATGAACGAGTCTTGGAAGTACGCGAGAGATTCGACATGGTAGACACGCAATCGAGACAGGTCTGGTTGAACCGAAACGGCCGACCTCCGAACCAGGGCAAGAAACGCGGGAAGCCGAGGTTCGAAAATCAATGTCATACGGCTGGCTGACGAATCACACATGGTTTATTGGTTGGAGCCTACGTGGTTCCCCGAGCCGCCAGCTGAAGCCAGGTGGCAACCATGGGTTGCTTGCTGGAGTCACACCGCAGATGCGACGTTCCGAGCAAGCAACAAAGCCCATTCGATGTGTGTTTCAGAACCTCATTTGCATACACCACATATATGCTTACTATACTGAAATGCAAAACATGATTCTAATATTAATTTAGAGCACAAAATAGAAATGTCAATATCAGGTCAACAAAATGAGTCACAATCACTCGGATTGGTTAGCGCACTGCAGGTCATTTACTGCACACACGAAGTAACCCACAACACAGCGCAACCCCTGCAGTAGCAACAAGGGTCAATCTGCGGCCCATGATAGTCGCACCTTCCATTTCCCTCCACCTTCGCCTCACTCTCCACCCCATTTTCTCTCCCTGTTCTGCCCTCCAACCAGCACTTCTGCCTTCCTGCCTTCCTCCTGCCTTCTGCTTTCCTCCTGCCTCCTCTCTCACACTGCTTCCTAGCTCTCGTCTTCTCCCTCTTCATACTCGTCGTCCGTCTCCCCCTCTCCAACCTCCCCCTCCTCCGTCTCTTCACCCCCATCCCCTCCTCCCTCCTCCTGCTCCTCCTCCACCCCCTCCTCCTCCTCCCCCTCTTCCTCCTCTTCCTCCTCATGCCCCTCCTCCCCCTCCCCCTCCCCCTCCTCCTCCTCCCATTCCCCCTCCCCCTCCTCCTCCTCCCCCTCCCCCTCCGCCTCCCCCACCTCCCCTCCTCTCACCTCCGCCTGCACCACCTCCCCCACCTCCTCCCCCACCGTTCCCAACACAGCCTGCCACCCGCCCTCCACGCGTCTCCTCCTCCTCACCCCAGTCCGCCCCGACTCCTCATTAAACCGCCTCTCAGCCAAGCGGTAAGCCTGCTCGGGCCGCATGCTTGGCGTCTCCTCCATCAGCCGATTGCTCTCATACTCACAGAAGTGCCACATAGCCATCCCAACCGCTGAAAGCGGCCGCCCCTCGGCTGCTCCGGGCGGTAGGGGTCTGCTGGGGTGGGGAATCGTGCCGGCGGGGGGAGGGGAGGCTCTGCGCGCGCTTGTGGGGGAGAGGGGGGCGGCGTGGGAGGCGGTGGTGAGAGTGGAGGTCAGAGAGACGTCTGAAAGCGCAGGGCGCGCGCGGGGGGTGTTGGCGGCGTGTGCGCCAGCAGCAAAAGCGGCTGTGACAGCGGCAAGTGGGTGTCGCTGCAGTGGGGTGTAATCGACGATCGTGATGTGCGGGTGATTGGCGGCGGGGGGGGAAGGTGCGGCGGCGGGCGCTGGCACGGGAGCGAGGGCAGGAGCGGGGGGCTGCGCGGTAGCGGGGGCGGAAGTGGGGGAAGGTGTGGGTAGCGGGGCGCCGAGGCGGAGAGGGTCGAAGAGGGGAGCGGTGGCGGCAAGCTGGAACAGCAGGAGCTTGTCCATTGGCACGCGCACGCCGGCTGTGGGGAGGGAGGGAAGTGGAGCAGGAAGAGGGGAAGAGGGGGGGGAGGGAGGGGGGAGGGAGGGGATTGAGGGGTTGAGGGGGGGGGGGGGGGGGGCAGGGAGAGGGTGAAGGGGCGGTCGGGAAGGTGAGCAGGGGAAATGGGAAGGTCCCATGAACAGAGGGGCGCAATGTAGGCGATCCGGTATGCAGGAGGTACGAGCGCAGAAGGAGACACGAGAACGTGGAGATCTGGGTGTTTCGTTTGTAAGCAGTTTGCTGTGACACTGCACGAGCGTACAGACGATCCAATGGGAGAAGTGGCTGCACGCTTTTTCTATGTTGATTACGGATTGAAGATGTTACGAAGGAACGACAATAATGAAAAAGCAGATGTAGAAGGATTTTTTTTGCGGAAGGGACAGCTTGGGGTTCCTCCGAGGCCACAATATGTATATTTTTAAAAGCTGTAACGCTTTTCAAAATTATGTATTTTGAAAGCGAAGCTGCTTGTAATGTGGGAATGGGCAGCGTCGAACCGCGCTAATCGCTCGTTTTGGAGTACAAAACAGGGTCGTCGCTAGCAGAATTTTCTTGTCTGTTTGTCTTCTTAAGTCGAGTTTTTTTAGTTCATCTGATTTTTCAGAAATTGGTTTTTGTAATTTCTGATTGATAAGGAGTAGTTTTTGAGTTTATCTTACCAATCAGGTTCTTGTTTTGGTTTCATCTGATACTGAATCCAATTATGTAGGGGTGAATATGGGATTCGAGTTGTGAATGGGCGAATCTGATGCGTCAGGAGGCGGATCTGTTAGTGTCAGGGCGAATCTGTTAGTGTCAGGGGGCGAATCTGCTGTGTCAGGGGCGAAATTGTTGTGACGGGGCAAATCTGCTGTGTCAGTGTGACGGCGAATCTGTTGTGACGGGCCGAATTTGCTGTGAGGGGGTGATTCTGCTGTGACTGGTCAAGTCCGAATCAATTGCGTCAGACATGAACTTCGAAAATATCTGATACATCGGACACGGAAAAAAACATAATCTGATGGATCAGACGGGCCCGAAGGGCCCGTCTGATCCATCAGACGCCCTCAAATCCTAGCGACGACCCTGGTACAAAACGTGGGCTGGAGGTCATTTCCCTCCACCCACGTCTCTCATTTTCAAACGGTTCAGCCAATTTTCCCGCCCACCCCCCCTCGGAAATAGGACAGCCTAGTCACATGTTAGCACACCAATGTAATGCTACTGCTTGGATTTCAATTGTACTAAACCCATTTGAAATGAGACGATGCCAATTGCTACATGCAAGAAAGCAAGCTTTCTAAATCACGTCAATCTCTTTACACCGCATCTGGGGGGAGAATTGCGATGCAGTTTTTGAATGGGGCAAGTTTTGGGCACGAAAGGCCTTGCGGAGGATCGCAACAGCTTTTCAGCTGCATGTGCGGATGTACAAGCGTGCCAAGGCGGCAGCAAGGAGGTTCGGAGCCACGCATTCCGGGTCTGGATGACGATGAGCGCCGCAACCCGGACAGGATTTTTTACAGCACGACTAAACCGGCCACGTGGGCACAGGGTTTCATGTCCCTTTGGTCGAAGCCAAGGGCGGCATTCCGTCCCCCATTGAAGGTCCGACTGATGGGTACCGAGGGTGCAAGCCTGTCTAGAATGAGAATGATGCATTGATGTTGGTTGGGGTACATAAACCTAACCCTAACAACTGTACCCCATATGACAAGCCTCACAATTGGCTACAATATTTGACACACCCCCATAGCCTAAGTGAGGAGTGTCTAGCAAAACCAACACAGTACGGTCACAAGACCAGTCACAAGAAACAAAGCTCAGGGTGGATCACAATGTCACCAAACTGTCTGAGCACAAGCAAAAGGGGCCAAGGCCAGTCCAAGAGTTCATAGAGGTATATCTAAAGCGTACAAGTAAAGCAAGCAAAGAACTCAAGTCTACGAAAGACGAGAACATGTGTCAACAAAACCAATCTGCACACTGTCAGAATGCTATAATTGTCTAGTCTGCAGTGGGGTACTCTATAGTGAGTACAGCCCAAATTAGGGTTTGCTATATGTATCCTATCTGCTGCTAGTGCAACCCCTCTTTCCTGTTTCTCACTTTCTGCTAGCGTTTCTCGACATGCTATCACAGCGAGAACGCTCCTGGCCTGTAGGCCCACCTGCTTTCGCTGTTGTCCTGCCTGTCGCGCGCCCCGGGCGCGCGACGTTTTCTGCCTGCCGCGCGCCCGGCGCGCGTAACAGCTGCACGAAACTGAGAAGGAACGCGTGGACCTCCACAAAACAGCTCCAGAACCCAGATTGAAGCAGTACCTCTGAGTAGACCTGTGAGTCTCAGCGTCGTCAGCGTAAGAAGAGTCATAGTGACCAGTAAGTGCGACCGACTGCTGCCCTCCAAGAACCAGCCCCACGCCTGATGTCGTCGCTAGGTACTTCGCCACCCTCACAGCTGCTGTCCATTGAACATGACGGTGTCTCCCTAGCGCAACAAAGCGAGCAAGGATGCTGAGAGGGAAGGCGAGGTCCGGGCGAGTACAAGTCATCAGGTACATGAGGCAGCCGACAAGCTCTGCGTAAGGACCACTTGGCTCAAACCGCTCGTCAGGAAAGGGTCCTGTGAGTCTGTGGTCAACAGTGAGAGGCGTGCGCTGTACTGTGGAGTGCTGAAGCTCGAACCGCTGAAGGACTTGCTGCACCATGTGTGACTGTGAGAGTGTAATGGTGCGAGCAGCTCTGTCCCGGGTGATCTGCAGGCCAAGGTAGTGGCGCAGCTCACCAAGGTCAGTGCACGTGTGTCTCTTCTGCAGTTCGGACTTTACGCCTGCCAAAACAACCCTGTCAACAGTGGCGAAAGCTAGGTCGTTGACGTAAACCAGCACTACGAACGGTGTAGAGCCACGACGAACGAACATGGACGAGTCGGCAGAAGACAGCTGGAAACCGAGGTCAGATAGGGTAGAACAAAGGGTGTCGTGCCACTCACGAGGAGCCTGACGAAGACCGTAGACCGGTCGCTGTCAGTAGATCTGCACAGTGAGATTCCTGATTGATCCTAGGGGGGTTACAGGCGCGTTCGCCTGGGGGGTTATGGGCGCACGAACCCGCTAAGCAAACAAGCCCTTTTATCCTAGTGGTTAGTGGCTGGGATTCTGACAGTCGCCTCAGCCTCCAGTGGGTCTCAGTAGGGAAAGTGCCAGTGAAGGCAGAGGGATGACGCAACCAGACCTCCTCGTGTAGGCTACCCTGAAGAAAAGCAGTGGAGAAGTCAAGAGAGTGTAACTCGTAGTCTCTCTATGCTGCTACGTGCAGTAACACCCGAAGAGTAGTCATCTTCGGGGTAGGCGCGAAGGTCTGAAAGAAGTCGACTCCCTCGCGCTGACTGAAACCTCTAGCCACGTAGCGCGCCTTGAAGACCGGAGGAGATCCTGGTGGCCGCTTCACCCTGAATATCCATATGCCATCGACTACGTTCGCCCCAGGGGGGGGGAACCTCGTCGACCTAGGTGCCTGTGGATCTGTAGGAGGCCATCTTTGCGTCCATGGCAGCTCTCCACTGAGAGGCCCAAGGCCCTGACACTGCCTCAGCGTAAGTGCGAGGAGTCGGTATGTCAAGGGCGTCGGGGTCTCCCTCAAGGGCGAGCAGCATGGCACAGAGATGAGGGGAAGCGGCGGCCAGGAACTCTAGCTCAAACTGCCTGTCCTCTAGGGCGTCACAGCCAAGGGCAGACTCACCCCCGACTGCCAGAAGACTGGTAGTAGGAGCAGCCAAGACTGGTGGCGAGTAGAGGCAAACTCAGTGACTGCGGCAGTAAGTGCAAATAGAGAGGACAGAGGGGCACGAGGGTCGGTGACAAGAGAGGCGAGAACACGAGAGAGTACGAGACGGTACGTGCGGTAGTATTCTGTGACAGGAGTAGAGAGGGAAGCAGTGAGGGCCGACTCAGGAGGAGAAGGAAGTACAGAAGGAGACGAACGAGGTGGACTAGAACAAAACAGGGCAGTACGAAGGGCAGCGACGGGAACAGGAGACAAGGGACGAGCAGGACGAGAGCGAGGAGTCCAACTGTGAGAAAGAGGAGGGGACAAAGGAGATTGAGAACAAGGGAAAACAACTGGAGAAGGGTCAGGAGGAGGAAGCGGAGGACCAGAGACGGGAGGAGAGGGGGAGGAGGGAGGAGAGGGAGAGGGGAGACCGAGGGTCCGAAGACCAGAGACAGGAGGAGGAGGCGGCTGCTGCTGCTGCTGCTGCTGCGGCCGCTGCACCTCCAACTGCTGCTGCTGCTGCTGCTGCTGCTCGTGCTGCCGCTGCGTCAGGTTCCAAGCTGCCACTCCAGCACCTTGCGCTGGCAGACATGCAGGTGCTTGACGAACCCGAGGTTCACCTCCACCAGTCGTAGCAGGGGAGTCACAAGCCGCAGCAGGATGCGGTCCACCTCCGGCACTCCTGCCACCGCCACCTACCCCTAGGTTACGCAAAATTCGTAACAGCAGATGCAGTCACGTCTGTAGCGGTAGTGGCGAGGGAGGCAATAAAGGTGGGTAGCTGAGGGACAGTGCACCCGTGAAACAGTGGAGGGGGCACAGCACTAGAGGCTGAGCCTACCTTACGGAGGTTGCTCTCGACGTCCTTGAGCGCAGACTCAAGGACCTCGATAGTGAGCTCGCTAGAGTGCTACAGAGGAAGCGCGTAACGAACTGAGGCAAGGCGGTCAGGGAGCCTAGTGGCAATAAAATAGATAGTAATCGCCATGGGGGGAGGGAGCAGTGCAA